GCTTCTGATGAGCTAAGAAAATGTTTATCTCCCTGAGCTTGGCCTTCATAATTCCATTCCATCACAGTACCACACTAAAAAGCCAGCAGGTCAACCTTTTCCTTCTGAGGACACTGCTGGCAGAACAACAGCCTCCAGCCCTTCCCTCCTCCTAAGGGAATACCTGTCAGAGGACCGACATTCCAAGCGATATTGTTACACCATCCCGTGGCCTGGACCCAATGCACAGTCCCGGCGTTAATCCACACAAGGTCTCCAGGGCGCTGGATGAAGCGGTAGACGGGGATATTGGACTGGTAAAGGTCTTCTAGGATGGGCCACCAGGAGCCGGTGAGATAATCTACCCCATGCCTGCAAGAAACCTCAGGTTGTGGCAGTTCGGCAGCAATCCCCCATCTCTGTTCCCCCCCGACCCAAATGGAAGGGAGTAGCTGCGCAGACCACAAGAACAGTCTTGGGCCTCTCGTTCAAAGCCATGGAGCTCGCTGTCTCCACCTGTTACTCCCTTCACAGCACTCAGAAGATTCCCTGGGCCACCCCATTTCTTCTCTGGGGCCAGGTTCACCCGTTGCACTGGGCCTAATGAGCTTGGTCCTGGTTTCCCGAAGAAGCCCTCTACCTGTCACAGAAGGCACTGATGCTCTGCCAGTAATGTTCGTGGACAGCAAACCACTCACAGTCCCCGGGCCCAATGTTGATATTCACGGAGCAGAAGTTGTTGTTCTCCTGATGACCTGCAAAGGAGCCACACAGGCAGTTGTTAGAAGCTCAGCATTTGGGACCAGCCCTTCATTTCAAGCAGTCTCTTTGGCAGACAGAAAGTCCCTGGAAGACACCTGTGGAAGGACTGACTGCTCACATGACAGTGGAATCTGGGAAGCTCCAGGGTTCCAGCAAAACCATCATTAGCCACACGCAGGGATGCCTGGTTCAAACTCAGATCTGCCCAGGGTCCCTCCTGGCCATCTTCCTGTTTCCCGCAGGGGCATCGGGGAAGCCTACAAGCAGTTCCTAAGAGTGACAGCCTTTCACTTGCATCCCTCAGCAGCTGGCACTCAAAGGTAGAGTGTTTTTGGATCCGGAGGTTCCATTTCACTGTCAGGACTCATAGTGGGAGAGTTTGCACAACCCCTTCCCCAAGCTACGTCCCATCATGCTCAGACCAGACAGAGAATGGTTCCCACCTGGAGTACGGCTACCCGGGACCTTCATGTACAGTTGCACAGTATTCATGCCCAGAATGGTGTGACCCACGTGACTCAACATGTTCCCCGTTGATGTGACTCGCATAAAAGCTGGAAGCTTTAGCAGTTCCTGCAGCTGCGGTTTCCATCTGTGGTGTGTCAGAGAAACAAGGATGTCACAGACTCTCAGAGCGGAAGGGGCCGGAAGATCAACCAGTCCAACCTCTGTCCGGTGTAGGAATCCTCTACTACTGCACAGACGGCTGGGAATTCTGGGAACATCCCTGCCCATGCTAGTCAGGAATTATGGGATTTGAAGGCACTTCAGCAAAGTGACAAAGAAAGCTATGGCAGCACCACTAGGGCAATTAACCCAAAAGCCACACAGAGGCAGCGCAGAGAAACGCATTTCCTGTGATGCAGGTCCAAACAAGGCTACCGACGGGCAGCCATGGGGAATGCTGTATCCCCAGGTGGCCATGGCAAATCACAGGGAAAAAAACCCTAAGCAAGGCCAGACCTGGTTAGAATTTGGATAGGAAACCACTGGGAAATTCCAGGGTTACTGGTTACACTGGGATGTTGAAAAAACATCTGAGAAGAAGACAAAGGTGAGTCACCAGCATGCCAAGAAAGCTGCGTGGCATCCCCAGGAATTCAGCTGAACTCCAGGGCCTCTACCCTTTAAGCACATTAGTGGCACTGATGGCTTCTGGCCACCAGGGGGCAGCCTCCCCCCAGAGCAGGTTCTTTCTGGAACGCTCCTGCATGACCACTGGGGAGCAGCAGAGAGCCACCGCGACAGACTGTAGCGAGAGCTTTGCCATAGGGCCCTGTGGGGGCGGGGGCAGCCCTGAGCACTGCCTTGATGCAGTTCCATGGGTGGCCACCAAGGGGCACCAAAGAGCCAGGATGAAGCCCAGCCGCACAGAGGGCATTCCAGACCAGCCATCATGCCAGTTTCATGCAGTGACAGGCTTGCAGTGACAGCAAAGGGGGCAGCACAAACAAGCAGGTCTAGGGCCGTTTGCGTGCAGCTTCATCCCCCAAAGGCAGAAGGTGCTGTGGGGAGAGCAAAATTCCCCTTGCTGTGTGGCAAAGGGCGACACCACGCAGGAAATGGAAGGCGGGGGTGGGGGGAGAGAGGAGACCACATTCTCTCCGGGTGCCCAACTTTCCCCTCCCACGGTCCTCACCGCTTGGCATCCGAGAGGTCGATGTTGGTCCCAAACTTGATTATCTGATGAGGCTTCTGGTCGGCATTGCTGCGAGGAGCGGAAAGGGAAAAGTGACGATGGGAAGCTGTAATCGGCCAACTGTTTCCTCCTCGGCTCCTCCCAGGTGGAGAAAGCATTAATTTTCCAACTCTCCCCCAACAGAACATCGTGAGGCCGGGGCCCCCCAGGCTGGCATCCTGTGCCTTCCTAGGTCCAAGACTCACAAGCCCGCCAAGCCTGCCGTCACTCCCTCACACCACCCTCTCTCTTTATATTGGCCTTCGCAAGCCGTTTCTCAGCAAAACCCCCGAAATCCCAAGAAGAATAAGAAAGGCAGTTAAATCACGTGTCACCCAGTGAGCAAGCAGAAGCAGGGCACTCTACCTGGGGGGCGTCTCTGTGGTGCTGTCAGGTTCCTCGGCCTCCTCGTCATCCGTCTCTTTGTCCTCCTGCCTCAACAGAGGGATAAGTTAAAATGGTGGCCTTGCCGCCAGGAGTTAAGGAAGGGCATTCAGTGAGCAGGAGGGCATTTCGGCCCTTCTGGGGGCAGAAATCTGCCTGGTCCTGTCCACACGGGATGCGATGGACAGAACAAAGCCTGGCGCCCTCACCTGAAGCGACTCCTGGAACGAGGCAGCTTGGTACTGGGCATACTTGGCGATGGTGGTGTGTGACCGGCTGCTCTCGCAAGGCCAAACTTGCTTGGTCCCCGAGAGGTCCCAGTTCTCGTCGGACGGCTGCTGCACCTGAGTGCGAACTTCCACGGCGTGCTCCCCACTCGCCTCCACCAGAGTCTTTGTGCTGAACAGCCCCAGATCTGGGGGCAAGAGGAAAGGGGGTCATAGCGGGACACTGGAGGGCCTCAATGCCCCCTCCCCAAGTTGTAGGAGAGAGTAGTTGTGGGTTCCCCTGCCCAACTCTCTGAGAATCAGGCATCTTTTCCTCCACCCCTCTTCGAAAGGCAAACTTTTACAACCAATTTGGCTTCCCTTCCACCCAGAACTACAAAGATCCTCAGCCATTCTCCAAACCTGGGGGGAAAAACCTACCAACTATCTTTTTGTTAGAGTACTCGCAGTCCCCTGCACTTTTTATCCCACTCCAAAACTCTGGACTTGAAGATGCTGCCCTCTTTGCTGCAGGAATCCTCCTCCACCACCGCTTTCCGGCCCCACAGCTCCTCCTTCCCAGCCCTGCCTGCCCGCCTGCTCCCAGGGCATACTCACTGAGGCGAAGAGATCCGGCCAGACCCCGGATGACCGTGATGGGGTTCTTGGGGTCGGTGCAGAATTGCAGCAGCACAGGAGAAAAAGCATCTCGTTTGCTCTCCAACTGAAGAAAAGGAGGAGGAGCCCATCAGAGCGCCACAGGCCAGTCTGGCTCCCCCCACCCTCAAGTGCAAGGCACCCACTGATCCAGAAGCAGAGTAACCTGGTGCCCTCCAGATATATTGGACCACCTCTGCTATAATGCCCAGACAGGGAGGATCACTGACTTTGCAGACCAGGTGTGATAATAATGGGAATCCAAAGCACCAGGCTGGCACCAGTAGGGAAACGCTTAACTGAGACTAATTTGGACCAACGGTCCATCCCTGCAAAGCCGTCCCTAAAATATGCAGGCCAGAGTTTTCCAGTTTGGGCCACTGCGCCCATCTGCTCAAAATCCCCCAGGTGAGGCTGGTGAGCCTCTCTGTCAGCATTTCCTAGAATTCTGGGAGTTGTAGTCCACACATCTTCAAGTCGCCAAGGTTGAGGAACCCTGCCCTAGTCCATTCCACATCCCTCCTTTTCAACCAGTAGTTGCCCCTTAGAGACAATCAAGGATATCCAAGGCTGGCTTCTACTTTAAAAATGGATCAAAGATTGGCCTCGTCCCCTCTCCTGAAATGCAGATGTGGGACTCCGCGAAATCACGTAACTTCAAGCAGGACAGGCCTGAAGCCAGAGGTGTGTTCCAGAAGGGAATTCCCTTTTTCATTGCGACTTTCCCCCTGCAGAGACCCAGCTTGGCTTGTCGTAGGACATCCTTATGGCATCAGTCCCATCAGATTGAAAAGGATCACCAAAGACTGTCCAGAAAGGCCTCAAATAGCAAACCGTGCAGTTACAGGAAAGACCCAAACTGAAGGGGGAGACTTTGTTGGAAAGAAGCAGAAGGGGTTCTTGGAGGAAAAGTTGCTGAGAACAGATCCAAACCTCCAGACAGAGAGGGAAAGATGCCTTCTTTCTGTAAAACTGGACCAACATCCATTCCTTTAGTCTTACTCACGAGAAGGCAGGGAAAAGAGGCCATTGGCAGTTGGACCATTTGCCATGAAATGGAAGAGAAACTGGAAGAAGACACTGGTGGCGAGGAAAAGAATCCCAAGAGGAGCAAAACGTCTTTCTGGGGGAGAGCCCCCTTCCTACTCCCCAAAACCAAGGGCCGCCAAGTGCTCCATTCATCAGTCCGAGCTCCGCATTCTGTGGCTGCGCTCTGCTCATTCCCAGGAGCTCAGAGGCCTCCTTTTCAGGCACACAGGGCTCGGTCTTCTCGGATGTGGAACCGAGCTAAGAGCACGCAGAAGACTGTCAAGCTAACAGCGTAATGACAAGGAAGGAGTCTTGTGGAATGGCAGCAAATAAAAAAAGAGAAGGAAAAAAGAGTCAAAAGATGAGAATGAACTGAGATGGGGGGAAACACAGGAAAAGAGAAACTCTTGGGGATCTTTCCCCAAATGAACCACGGAAACCCAGGAGGAAAAGATGCGGCCTCTCCATGGTGGTAGACAGAACAGGGGGGCAATTTTGCCTGGGCAGAAACTGCCGGGAAAGATCAAGCCCGGAGACCCTGGCTCTAAAGACCGCGACCACAAAGAGAATTCAGTCCCGATCTGAGTGCCAAAACACACAGTTCACAAAGTCTGACCTGCCAGGCTACGGGGAAAGAAGTGGCACGTTGAGAAATGAAATGAACGTGAACAATTTGTTCAGAAACCGACATGCACAGAAACCATCCTTTGCAGATGGATGGTTCTGGAAAAGGGGCAGGACAGATAAAGAGCGATGCATGCAAAGGCTGAGACTTTAAACAGAATAAATGGAGCTCCCAGTTCTCACGACTGCAAAATTATAGTGCCGTTAAGGCAACCCCAAGTCACCTCAGCCTTTTTTTCGCAACACATCGCTGTTGAATCATCTTCACTTTGTGACCAGCTACTATCCCCAAGACTCTTTCTTCCAGCGTTACTGCCCCACCAAACAGCCTCTATCCTAAACTGGGCCGATGTATTTGGTTGTTACTCACTGAGCTCCAAACGCTCAACGTTGCATCAGCCCTCTTTGATCCGCTTTCGAGTCTTATGCCTGTCTTTGGAGCCATTTGCAAAAATCCTCCCCGCCTGTGTTCCTGGCAGACGGGCCAAGGTTTTCCTCCAGCCACGGAGATGCAAAGCGTTCACAATGCAACACAGCTAAGACTATGTGCGTGGCTAATTCTTACAAAGCTGGGCCCTGCCTGAAAAGGAAGGAAGCCGTCAAAACCGGTCTCGAAGGCCCACAGAAGAGGTCTTTTTCGAGAGGGAGGAGGGAGGACAGAAGCTGCCAGACAGAGCCACTGGAGCAGCATCTCAGTCCCCAGAGAGCAAACGTCTCCTGGGTCTCACAAACCACTTTTGTTTTGCCTTCCACGAGGAGGAGCTTTGCCTTGAATAGCAACCCAGGGACAAATTGAAGACGAAGCGAGCTGCACAGAAGGAAGGGCAGCCCAATCTCCCAGCTCTCCGGAAGCTTGCCTGAGCCAGCGTGGAGGGGGTCGAAAGATTCCTCCGGGCACAAGGACGGTGAGCTGAAGAGGAGTTCGGAGGAGAGAGAAAAGCTCGGGGGTCCAGGCAGAGACCTGGGGCGCTGCACCCTCATAACTAGGATGCGAGAAAAGGAGCCACACAAATAGGTGTTTTAAAAGACAGGATAGGGGATCTAAGAGCTCAACGTCTTTTTGAGATGAACAGGAAATGCTACTGAAAAGTCTGTGAAAACAGAAACACTGCTGTAAAGGAAGACTGCTCTCTTCAAACAGACTGAGACAGAGATGTGGGTGGAGATCAGTGTTTCTCAACCTTGGCAACTTTAAGACGTGTGAACTTCAACTCCCAGAATTCC